ATGTTCTTGGCATACACAGTGATGCTCTCACGTCCATGGAATCTGTATAATTTTATTCAATTCCAAGAGGCGCGAACCAAATGCTGTGAGCAAAAACTGCTTTCTTGCCCTTAATGACCTCATTCCTTTTGGTGCTTGCATATTTTCTTTACGAGCCATCCTGGTGTGCAGTTAACGTATTCCACACACCACGTTTACTGCACACCTGCGAATACTGTGTTCTTCACCTTTATGATCCAGCGAATATGAGCGTGAGGGCCACAATCCTACGCACATTACCTTTCGATTACCATAAGATGGATTTTTCTAATATAATCAGACTCTCTGAGTCACTTCGCTCTGACACACACTATCCTTCCTATTCTAGCACAGGGCCACAGACAAGAAACTATTGTCGCGAAACCCAACCTGTATCTTTGCCAACCTTACAATGTCCTGTTGACCATTCTGCCCTTGAGTAACAAGCGCCAGCCATGAACAGCTAGGGCATCACTCCAATTTTTTTTCGAGAATCAGTCCGTGGAAACACCCTCTGAAGTAGCAATCAGCTGAAAATAAACGTACGTGCTGCTAATGGACGAGGTACACCACCGATGAACACTGTGAGACGTGGATCAATTTTTGCATCAGAATCCGGGATATGAGCAATAGAACTTAAATACCACGGACGCACTTGTGCCTGGAAATGTTTTAAACCGCACCTGTGCGTGCATCGAACAAATAAATGAATAAATAAATAACATGAGTGGGTCGTGAGGAGACACTGAGAATAATCAAATGGAGCGATTAGTATCATTACACTGACCAACTTTGGAATAATGGAGCCTTCAGTGAACAGCATGAAGAAGTTTTCTTCGAATTTAATACAACTCCTTAGTAGGTTCAGAACCGCTTCTTCGCAATCATAAACCACAAACACATATCCGGACGTACTGAACTTACGATCTGCTGCAATTTGCAAATTGTGGTTGCCTTATAGACGCTTGTTAAACCGTTTCTCTAGGAAAAGGGACTGAAAAAGTAAATGCTTGATTCCGCACCCTGGTCCCAACGGGACTTTTCAATCCCGTCAAAACCAAGCATATAGGGAGAATGTTTTTGACACTGAATCCGCACAATTGAAAAAATGTTTAATTTCCCCTCCCTTTGTCTTGCCTATTTTTAGTTGTGCATGTGTTTCTATCATGTTTTCATGTCCGCATCATTCTTACTCGATGAGTCTGTCCCTATCAATGCACTTACTAATGGCCCTACGACCTTCCTTTCACGTAAGAATTCATTGATAAATGCAGTGTAGTGTGAAGCAGTGTTTAGTATTTCTGTCCGACTATTGCTAACTATTGCTGACCAAAGTGTCTCAGCGTTCCCTGTTCCATGATTGGCTGCGATTCCTCAGATTTCAATTCCTGGGGCTACACCTTCTCAAAGCTATGATTCGTTTGTCGTCCGTTTTACATGCAGTCTCGGTGACTATATGGAAGTTCATTCCTGAAAAATTACGACTGC